AATGAAACATAAGGAAAGATAATTTTCAGTGCAGAACACTAAGAAATTCAAATAAAATGGAAATTTTAGTGAACAATAAATCGTTGAAATTAATTATTGGTGTACCGTAAGACGGGGTGACTTCGGACACTGCGGCTAACTTCGTACAGTTCGACCTTGGCGCACTTCAAAATGAATTTCGGAAAGAGCATGCGCGATTTGACCGTTCTGTTCATGCACGTCGATTCTTGTTAGTCGTGAAAGTACAGTGGTAGCGTATAGTCACTCTCTAGTAAGTATTTTACGTAAGATAATAATTTTTATGGCGACATCAGAATATGGCGTTTTGAGAAATGTGGAAAAGTAACTGATCTGCGATAAATTACGTTGCCTGTATCTCAATTTCAACTGAACATTTCGATAGTCTCTAGTTTCAAGAATACTTCGCCATAATTTGATCACTCCATCTCATCAGCTGATTTTTATACAGGGTGATAACTAGAATTTCATAATTTTAAGGGGCAATTTCGGACATGGTGAGAAATTATAAGAAAGTTCTTGGTGGTCGGAGTTATTTAAATTATCCGTCAGAAAGACTGCTACGAGCATTGAACGACGTGAGAAATGGAAGGAAGTCGATTGGAGAGGCGCAGGATTATTACAATGTGCCAAAATCAACTATTGCTGATAAATTGAGAAACAAACATATGGGCACACCTGGTGCTCCTCCACTCATCTCTAAAGAAGAAGAAAAAAATTTAGCAGACTCCATATTGCTGAGTGCTGATTGGGGGTTTCCATTAACTGAGTTAGATATTAGAAAAATCATTCAGCACTATCTCAACCGTAAGGGAGTTCGCATCCGCAAGTTCAAAGATAACTTGCCCGGAAAGGACTGGGCCAAAAAGTTTTTGGCGCGTCATAAGACCTTAACTATCAGGACGACTCAGAATATCAAAAGAAATAGGGCTGAGGTGGGTCCAGCCGTAATCAATGATTATTTTCGGGAATTGCAGTCCTCGTTGATAGATGTAGTTCCTGAAAATATAATTAATTACGACGAAACGAATTTTAGCGATGACCCGGGCAGACCCGAAGTGATTTCGAAGAGAGGAGCGAAACATTGTGATAGAGTCATAGACTCATCCAAAACTAGCATATCTGTGATGATGGCGGCATCTGCTGCTGGAGAACTGCTTCCACCTTTCGTGGTGTATAAAGCAAAACACCGATATGAAGAGTGGGAAGAAAATGGGCCACTGGGGTGTCACTATAGTAAAAGCAAATCGGGATGGTTTGAAGCTACCACATTTGTGGAATGGTTCCGGAAGATCGCGCTTCCTTATTTTAGGAACAAACCAGGAAGGAAGGTCATGATAGGTGATAATTTGTCGAGCCACATCACTGTTGATGTCATAAATCAGTGCGCGGAGAACAATATCAGATTCATTCTCCTGCCACCCAATTCTACCCATCTCTGTCAACCTTTGGACGTATCATATTTCGCACCTCTTAAGAAGTGTTGGAGAAACGTGTTGACAGAATGGAAACAGAAAAGGAAGGGGCCTTTTCAGAAATCAGATTTCCCAACTCTGCTGAGAACGACTCTAGAACGCATACATGCTTCTTCAAAGAAAAACATCATTTCAGGCTTTCGTGCTTCTGGGATAAATCCTTGGAATCCTCAAGAAGTCCTCAAGAGGTTGCCACACCGAAGAGAAGATGCTCCTGCACCAGATGGGGATAATTTATTATTGGCCAATACCATCATAGACTTCTTGAAAGAAACAAGATCTCCAGAGGCCCGACCCAAAACAAGGAGGAAGAGAATAAATGTTGCTGCTGGACAGCCTTTGACTGTTTCACATTTTTCCCGACAAAAGGAAAATATTCCTCCAGACCAACTTCATGATTCTTCTGATTCTGATGATCATCCGTTAATATCATACAAAAACAACAACATTAGACATGATGCAGGAGAAAACCTAATTGAGGCTGCTACAATGAACGAATCTCTTGATGAAGATTTCGACCAGAATAAGACTGAAGAAAACCAGACCAAAACAACTGACGAGGAAGACTCAGATGAAACTGCAATGGGTATTGCTGTCAATTCATTTGTGATTGTGCAAATTCCTCTAGAGAATTCCTCCAAGTTCAAATATTATGCCTGTAAAGTCATGCAACAGTATAATTATGGAGATTCTCAAAATTATCTAGTGAATTTCTTAAGACGAAAGAAGATTGACGATACATTTTTTTTTCATTACCCACCTGTAGTAGATGAAAGTATTGTAGCTAAGGACGAGATAATCAAAATCCTCGAACCTATCGCGTTACGTCGAGGACGTTATACATTTTCGAATTTGCCTAAGGAAATAACGCTGGAATAGTTCGAAATACTACTTGACAGCTACTCGACAGCTTATACCAAATTATTCTTATGTACCAAGGAGAACTGTTTTGTTATTATTTTTATGGTTTTTTTTTTTAGTTTTTAGAAATCATTATACATTTTTTTGTTATTTTCATCGAAATATATTTTTGAAGTTGTAGAATATGCTTTTATTTTGAAGTTAAGTATGGTTTTTACCTCGGAATATTTTTTAAAAAAATTTTTTCTGTCCGAAGTTAATTATAGGCACTCTAAACATCGTTTTCAACGGGTTTTTGAAGCGTGTCCGAAATCACCCCACACTGCGGGGTAAGTTCGGACAGCAAAAAATCAAAAAAATAAAATATAAAAAAACTAATTTCGCATTCGGTATATGTGTAAATCTATTAAGAAATGATTAATCAATAATCTATGAGACATTTGTACACTCTCGATTCATTTAAAAAATGTTACGACGGAAAAACCAGAAAAATCGTTCGAAGTCTTACTACCAAAAAAAAAATAGTTCAACAGGAAAATGTTCACTTTGGGGTGCCTATTATCGCAACATATCATTTTTCTATAGACATGGAAAAATTTTAGATAAAAATTAAGCTCTTTTCCACGTCTGATTTTGTGAATATTTTAGAAAAAATCAAATTGTATTTTATTTATTCCTTCTTTAACATCTAGTAGATGAGACAGTTGAACAAATTGCAAAACAAAAGTCGTTAATCAAAACTTGCACAATAACCCCTTCACCACACTTATTCACACCTATATAAGTTCTTAAATAACTAAGTTATTATTGTATATATTATACAGGGTGTTTCCTAATTGAATGTCAATGTTTGTGGAAGCGATTTTTGGGCCCATAAGAAAATTTCATATGAACGTATGACAATTTTTCCAATCTGCTGCACGGTTTTCGCTTAAAAAAATTAAAACCTCTTCACTGCATGATCACAACAATATCGTTAATATGACAATATTACAATGCTGAGAGATAGATTTGATTTTTTAGATCAAATGTGGTACAATAACTGATGCCTCTTGATACACAGTACATGAATGCCAAATTTCATCAGAATATCTAAAGTGGTATATTACATATATAAATGAAAAACTATTCATTCTAGAGAACCTTAGCACCCTGTATCTCGAAAGTTAAGATGTTCAGGTCAGGTTAGATTCATATGGAATTCTCTTCTTAAAATGGGCCCAAGAATCGCCTCCTCAAATAATGACATTCAATTAGAAAACACCCTGTATATGTATATTGCACATGGTGAAGATTACCTACTGATGATGAAGTAGTTATCAAAATATTTATTTAGGTGTGAAGTGAAGTAAATTTTAAATTGTGCAATTTAAGATTTTCTGGGTACATCCAGTATTGATAGAACTTAGTGAAACAGAGGTAAAACATATCCAATTCTGAAAACTTTTTTGAAAGAAAAGTGAGTTTAGGGCGCAATATAAAAATAATGTATAGAAAAAAAATCAGCATTGGACTGAAAAAAAAATACAGAAGCTGAATAAGAGTGTTTTTTTATCATTGATATTTATTGGATGTGTAGTGTTCCAATAATTACATTTTCAATTTTCGAAGCTTTGGACATGACCTTCCGTACACTGGTGATTTCTACATCATTTTCCAAACGACCAACGGACCCAATGAAAATTTCAGTAGACTTCATTGGTTTCAGGAATAGGTTAGTATAATTTGAAGATCTCTTATATTGCATAAAACAGTCTTCCTTGGAAACAAATATATAAATTACTTGGATTGGTACTCCAGACTCAATATAACAAAAACAATTTGGTGTTGACTGTTCCAAAACCAAGCTCATTCAAAAGGTGGATAATGCTCATTCATCAATTGATATTCGTCAATATATTCTTTTCCTGCTAGACTATTTTTTTCCAGAATTCTATTGACGAATTGTGCAAGTGGATGTTTTGTTGGTTTAAGAGATCGCTTGATTTCCGACATGAAATTTTCAAATTTGAAACAGCTAAAATTATCGAATACACCAAAATTCAAAACATCATCAGGTAAATGTATCAAATTATGGATGTTATGATTAATATACTGTACTCCATATATCTCCCCAAACATTTCTATGAAATATCCCATGAGAGATTTTGCGAATATTTTATATTTATAACAATGCTTGTCACTGCCTAAAATTCTCATAGCTATATGCAGTGATAAAAAATGTACATATTTTTGTTCATTCAAATGCCTTTTCATCACCAATGGTCCATAATACAGAAGGAACTGACGAAACTCTGTTGCTTTCCAATGATCAACATCATCAAGAGTTCGAGGCTTTCGTGCAAATTCAATAATGCTACATTCTCTATAATTTGTAATTTTCTGGTTAATTTGCGAAATATCTTCCTGAAACAACCTCACAGATCGATCACCCTTTATCCAAAGCATAAGCAATTTCTTCATTACGCCCAAACAAACCAAGTGCATGTAATCAAGTGGTACTTGAGTAACTAGCCCTACATCAAGTTGCACTGAAGGAGTTTTCTCTTTGTGGTAATCATCATCCAGCATATTTCTAAAAGATTCATCTGTTCTCAAATTAAATTCAATATCAGAATATGTCATTCGATTTTGAACGAAATCTCCTTATGTTGTGCATTTTGTACACCCGAAGGAAGCATTATGACTCTTAACACCTAACAGAAATGATTTTGCTGGGGCACCGCAAAGAACTTTAGCAAGCTTCAGTATTTTCATTTCATTTTGAAAGAGAAGCCCATTTTCACTAATCTCTTGAAAATCTTCAACAAATCGCTTCAAAGATTCAGTGCAACTACTAGGTTTACTTTTTCCATGGTAAACCCCTATTGGAAAAACATAATCTCTACTACATTCTTCTATATTACCCAAAATTGGCCAAAACTGACTAGTGCTACTCTTTGATATGGGAAGACCATCTACGTTAATTTGGAGATTCAGAATAGTGCAATCTGACTTGGGTGGATATTTGTGTAATGTTTCCATTACTGATGACCTAAGTCCAAAGTGGTAGTAATCGCCATCTCCCATCTTTATGATTTCTGAATGCTTTGCCTAATCTGTCTTTAATAATGTCCTAGCATCTGAAGAGAGATTCACCAAATTCAAATCACTTTTCAAAATTTTCAACAATTTTGAAACAGCATTTTGAGAAATTCTATTTTTTATAGCCCATGTTCTTAGATGACTTGAAAAAAGCCCTAACTTCTGGGAGTCATCTGAAGGTTTAGTGTTAACATTCAGATAATCAGTTTTCTCTTGATCAGACTTATGCTCCAAATGGTATGACAGCAATGATGTTGATGGTTTCAGTGCAAATGATGTTGGTTCGGTTTGAGGTTCTGAAAGTATATTACTTTCAATATGTTCATCACTGATAAGCTCCTTAGATGTGTGCGCTTCAGCAAAAGCTTTCCTTACAGTACCCTTTTTAATCAACCTTTTGAGGTAACGGGGAGAACACTGTTTCATTCCACAAATCTTTCTTTTTGTTTCTGAAAAGCAAATTCATAATCTTTGTACTCACAGTGTGTGATGACTGGAAAAACAAATTTGATAAGATATTTAAAATACAAGAAAATTCACCAACTTTCATAACAATTGTCACACAGTGTGGTATAGATTTTTTTTTATCGTTTGGAGCGCACGAAAGGGAATCCCTCTAATGTTCAAAGAACATCGTGCGTTCCTAGGGAGGATAGGGACAGGAGGTAGGTATTGGAATTTTTTTTGAACTTTTGGAGATTATATGTTGTTGAGAATACTTCCACAGGCAATGAATTCCAGAGCCTAGCCGTTCTATGGATGAAGGAGTCTTGATAAAGTGCTGTTCGACATCTTTCGAGGTTGACAACGAAAGGATGTGCTGACTGGGCTTGTCTAGTTCGTCTGATTGGTATTGCTAGTGAAGGGATGATAGCAGAGATTTCCGAAGAACATTTCCCGTGGAAGTATCGATAGAAAAGTGAAAGGTCGCCGACCTTTCTACGGTGTTCCAATGATGTCAAAGAGTGAGTGAGTGTGGCGTCACCCACCAGGCGAATGGCTCTTCTCTGGATGGAATCTAAGAGCATCAGCGTATGTTTTGGTGCAGAACCCCATATGTGGGAACAGTATTCTAGAACAGGCCGTATCTGCGCTTTGTGGATCATGAGAAGCTGTTGAGGTGTGAAGTAGCTTTTCGCACGGAACAAGAATCCGAGTTTTTGTGAAGATAGAAATATACATCAGTTTTCAGACAGTTGTTGAATATAAATAAGTTGATATGATATCCAATATTATAGCTCTAGTTGTTGTGAGCCTTCAATAATCCTCAAGTGATTTTATCTTCTATTTGAGGAAAAAGAAAACTCTACGTCTTGACTTGTGACTTCAGTTCATTGAGTCCTTTCAAACATGACATTCACAAAAACAATTATATAATGAGTGTTATGAAAATAGATGATTTGAACACAAATATTGATGAACACTGTGAATTGTTTAAATCGTTGTTGTTTATCACAACATGAGTTTTATAACTCGACACCTCTCCTTGATAAACAAACAAAATAAGTACACAAGGCTTCTTTCAAAAACAATGAGACAAATTGTTAAAAAAAATCTGAAATCTAACTTCGTTCAGGGTTTAAGTCCCATCTTGTTGGATAGGTACTCGGTCTTGCTTCCACTGAGTAACTTGGTCAGTACATCAGCGACATTCTCTGAAGATTGCACGTACTCCACGCTGATTCTCCCCTTTTGTATTTCTTCTACAATGAAATTGTGTTTGATTTCAATGTATTTGGATCTATCAGGGTTGGTTTTTCCTTCTGCTCTTTTGATGGCACCTTGGTTGTCTATTTTGATGATAGATGGACTTGTCACAAATTCTGGCATATTTATCTCTCGGAGTAAACCTTTGAGAAAAATTACCTTTCTTGTAACCTCACTCAGAGCAATATATTCTGCATCATTAGAAGAATGAGTAGTCAACTTTTGTTTCTGACTTTTCCATGATATTGGTCCACCAGCCAAGTTGATAACATATCCTGCTGTGGATCTCTCTGAATTCCAATCTGCATCGACATAGATGTCTAGTTCTCTTGAAGTCTTCTGGTACTTGATACACCGATGTTTGGTGTTCTTCAGATATCTCATCAAGTGCTTGGCATTTGTCCAGTCCTTCCTCGTTGGATCTTTATTCTTCTGACAAAGGACACTAACGGCAAATGCAATGTCAGGTCTAGAATTGTTAGCAAGATGTAGAAGTGTTCCAGTTGCTTGTCTGTAGAGATGTTCATCAAAGCTTGGACTGTCATCTGATACGTTGTAATCCGAATTCAGTACTGTTGTCAAACCTCTGCTTTCTTCAGGTATTCTGAATGATTTGAGCATTTCTTCAATATACTTTGTTTGTTCCAGGGATATTTCTTGATTCTTGTAGTAGCAGATGTTCATGCCAAGTAGGTTTTTCACTTTACCCAGCTCTTTTAATTGATAAACCTTTTTGAGTTGGCTCTTGAAAAGGTCGACTTCTGGTTTCAATCCAATGATTATAAAGTCATCAACATGTAATCCAATTACCAAATCTTTTTGATAGTAGAGACACTCATCAAATTTTGACTTGCTGAGGTTCAATATACTTCTTAATTTGGTATCAAGCTCCACAATTATGAGTGCTTTGAGGCAAACCATAAATACTTTTCTTGAGCTTGCAGACATAGTCCGATGGTTCAGCAACTTCGAAACCCTCCGGCTGTTCCATAAAAATATTGTCTTGTATCTTGCTGTTTAGATATGCAGAATTGATATCAATTTGTTCTGCACACCATCTTTTCTCCACTGCAATGGCCAACAGTAATCTAATTGTTGACTTTCTTATTACAGGAGCATAAGTATCTAGATAGTCAATACCAGGTGTGAGAGAGAAACCTCTAGCAATCCATCTTGCTTTATAACTCACCACTTCTCCATATTCATTGATTTTCTTTTTAAAAATCCACGTGCTGTCAACAATTCTTTGATTTGCTGGGCGTTGTACTATGATCCACGTTTCCATATCAATTAGTTTAGACATCTCTGCATTCATAGCTTCCTCCCATTTGTCTGCATCTGGACATTTCAATGCTTCTTGAACTGTTTTGGGCTCATGAAGAACATCAATATGAATTGTGGTAACACTTTTATTGCAACATGGCATCGTGCGAATCTTGTGCTTTCCATTCCTTTCAGATCTTCTCGTTGTACTGTCTCTGTATTGCTATGTAATTCTTTCTCTTCGTCATCTGTTTCAAATACCTCTTCTCCATCACCATCTCTCTCAGAGTCCCCTACTCCTGTCTTCTCATTTTCATCTCTTTTCTCCCCCTCTTTGATGTCAATCTTGTCCTCTTGTTCTTCTGCTGCGACATCTTCATCTTGAGACACCATTATACAGTGAGTTTGTCTTTCAGCGCCAGCTGGAGGAGGGGGTGGAAAAATCGCTGGTCTCATTGGAAATTTGTCTTCACAAAAATCAACATGCAAGGCAACTTTGTATCTTCTTTCAGTCAAGTCCCAAACTTTAATTCCTTTTACTCCCGACTGAACTCCCATGTAAAGTCCTCTTGTTGCTCTAGCATTTATTTTTGATTTATCATTATTGCGTATCCAAACTTCACATCCAAATACTTTGATGAATTTCATATCTTCTTTGTCAAGGATTCTGTGATTCCACGACTCAAATGGTGTTCGTCCGTCAATCACTCTGGATTTCACTCGATTTCTCAAGTAGTTTGCATGAGTTACTGCAGGAGGCCAAAACATATTTGGCAGCCCAGCATGAATCATCATGCATCTTCCTGTCTGCAGTAGAGTCTGATTCAGCTTCTCAGATTTTCCATTCTGCTCTGGATTATCGGGAACTGTCAATCTTCTTGTCACTCCTTGGTCTTCTAGAAATCTTCCAAATTCTTCACTTATGTACTCTCCACCATTATCTGACTGTAGAATCTTGAGCTTCTTTTCATGAAATCTTTCGGCTTTCGACATATACTTCTTGAAACTTTCTAATGCCTCAGATTTCTTCTTCAATATTGCCACCTCACTGAACCGTGAATGGTCATCCAGAAATGTGATAAAGTACTTACTTCCATCTGGAGCAGCATGTTTCACTGAGCACAAATCAGAATGCACTATATCTAGTACATGCTCAGTTTTCCGTTCACTTGCTGGAAAAGATTTTCTCTTCGCCTTTCTTTGTAGGCAAGTTTCACATTCTTCTACCTTCCCCTTATTTTCACATGGGTCTGGTAAATTCTTCAGGTGCCCAAACCTCTCATGCCATACTTGTACTTGAGATTTGTTTCCATTAAGCTTAACTTTTCTTTCTTCCTTCTTCTTGCTTGAAAATCCTTCTTCAGTGTATTCTGCTTTTGTTTCATATAGCTGTGCCTCCTCATTCCAATAACTCACAAGAAAAATTCCATCTTTGTCACCAATGCTCTTCTTATTCTTGAATGTGGTAATTTGATATCCTCTGACATCGAATTGTCTCTCTGACATTAGATTGTCATGTACTGATGGAGCTAAATAGACATTTTCTAGCTTTAAGAAACTATCACCATACTTATCTTCTAGTTTTATGCTAACAGTTCCTCGTCCTAACATTGGAGCTTTCCATCCGTCTCCCCAAAGACACCGTGCCTGATACTGAATCATCAAAGTCTTGTAATATTTCTCTGTGGCACGTCAGATGCTGGCTTGCACCTGAATCTATAAACCAAGCGTTGGAATTTTTCTTCATATCTCCTTTAGTTGCTACTGACACTCTCATCTTTATCTTTGTCTTGGCACTTCTGGCATTCACTTTCTCTTCATCACTTCCTTCTTCTGCTTCGTCTTCTTCGTAGTCAGCTCTTCTTGCTCGCATAAGTTTCTTCTTTCCTTTCCCCATTTCTCCTTTCTCAAAAGAGGGACAGTTTCTAGCAATATGATTCTTGCCTCCACATGCATAGCAAATGAATTTTCTTTCAACTCCTTTTTCTTCTTCATTTTTATCAAGGTTATACTTC